TTTTTTAAACAATGTTGAAGTCACAGTGTTCCCTAAACATGTTTGGTGTTTTCCCGACAGTTACCTCCACTCCTGTGACCCACCGATAGTCCACGGCAACCTGACGTGTGACACCATATTCATCCAGCACAACGGACTCATCAAGATCGGCTCAGGTCTGGCCCCTGCAGGGTTTTTTGTGTTACTACAGTCTGCTGTATTTAACAGCCGTTTGATTCCTACTGTGGAGCTAAAATAAAATAAATATTTAAAACAGCTTTTCATTTACATTTACAGTTTGGCACCGGCTGTTTGTTAATGGTAAGAAATGAATATTTTCAACCTTAACAATGTTTATTTCTAATGAATTCAAGTCATTTCACTTTAATCTAAACCAAATTTAGGCTTATCTAATCTACATCTGCCTTATCCAGTGTTCCCAGATGTCAACATCCAGGGTAAAGGTCGGCAACACCGGGATGAGCAGAGGAATCTTCACTTCTTTGCTCCTGAATATGGAGGCAAGTTCTGTGTTTGAACCTCAGAGATTTTTACATTATTTAAAACTATTATTTTGAATGTATTAAAAGAAAAACCTTTTCTTAATTAATAAAATATATAAATTGTTTTTTTAAATTTTATTGTCTTTTCTTCTCCTTTAGCTGGTGAAGACGATTACGCCATAGACATTTTCTCCTTTGGCATCTGTGCCCTGGAGGTGAGAGAACCTGGTGGTGGTCAGAAGAAGTCCATCTGTGGTCAGGTTCATGTGTGAGCTTTGACATGTATAAAAAATAACTATTTTTTCACCCCTAGATGGCAGTACTTGAGATCCAGGCCAACGGTGATACAGCGGTGTCCAAGGAGGCCATCATCCACGCAGGTCAATCTCTGGAAGACCCTCTGATGAGAGTAAGAAAAAAATAAATAAATAAAAGCTCCAGCTTCTACTTTAACGACCTCCGCACTCGTTACGTCCGACTCTCGTGGTGATCGATGTGCGACTTCTCTCTGCAGGAGTTTACGCAGTCCTGTTTAGGTCACGACGCCAAACTCCGACCCACGGCTCACGACCTTCTGTTCCACCGAGTCCTGTTTGAGGTCCACTCCCTGAAGCTGCTGGCCGCCCACTGCCTCATCAACAACCAGTGTGAGTTTCTCACCTCCTCGTGCCAAGCCTCCTCTCACATATTTAACGTGTCACATCTCACGTTTGCTTTAATGCTCGTACAAATTCTCACGTTGCGTCTTCAGACTTGCTTCCAGAGAACTGTGTGGAGGAGAAAACCAAGTCCTTCGACCCCAGTGCCATCATGGCAGAGATCAGACACGACGACAGACAAGGAGTTCAGCTCAAGTAAAACCTCATCACCTCCTCTCATCACCGTTTGTCAAACACACTCTCGTCATCGTGCTTCTCACAGAATTTGTTTTTTTTCCTCCATCTCTACTGGCAGATATTCCCACGTTTCTCCTTTGGAACTGGACAAATTTCTGGAGGACGTTAAGTACGTGAAAGTACAGAGTACTGTTTGTATTTGCGGTATTTTAATGTGGAAATAATTGAAATATTTTGTGCATATTTTTTTGTCTCTTCAGGAATGGAATTTACCCGCTTATGAACTTTGCTTCATCCCGGCCTCATCCTGTCCCTCGAGCTCTGTCCTTGTCCCAGGAGCAGGTGGAGACGGTGAAGACGCCGACTCCAGAGCCCCAGGAAACAGAAACTAGAAAGGTCAGTCCCTCGGAGTTAGTCTGCGTTTTCTTTTTTTTTTTTAGATGAGCCTTAAATATATCACAGCGATTTGAATATTTCATGATTAACCTGCTCTGATTACTCCCTGGATGTAGGTCATTCAGATGCACTGTAACTTGGAGTCAAATGAAGAAGGGACCAAAACTCATGTGAGTCACACGGTCCCACTGGTGCTCAGGGTGAGGATCACTGATTAACGAAGAACCCGTTTAAACACAGATATGTTCTGGTGTGTTCTCAGCTCTCTTTGTTCCTGAAGATGGATGACAAACTTCACAGACAGCTGAGCTGCGACATCCTTCCAAGTAGGTGGAAATCAGACGTGGTGCCACAGTGGGAATTAAACCGGTGTCACTGTGACACTGTCTCTGGTTTAACGTTCAACAACTCTGCATTAGAACAAACTGTTCTAAACATTTTGAAATAAAAATACATAGATGTGAATGTGGAATATAACGATGGATGACGTCATTAAATTCAGTAAAACACAAGGAACAATTAGAGAATTAACTGTGGATGTACTGCAGTACTGACGTATTTCTCGTTACCATTTCAGCTGACACCTCCAAAGACCTCGTCAGTGAACTCGTACATTATGCCTTCATTAATGAGGTAAATTATTAATCTGGATTATTTTTTTTCAGAATTTTTTTTATACCTAAACTCATTTCTTTCTGTTAAATGCATAGGAGGACAGTGAGAAGGTGGCGGGGTTCCTGGAGGACGCCATCAGCCGACACCGGGTCCGAGCACTTGCCTCTGGGGGCGCACTCTGAGGAGTAGTCATGGCAATGTCTAGACCTGCACCGAGGGTCAAGGGACGTTGACCTCTCTGATCAAAGAAAAGGAGAGGGCAGCAGGA